TTAAAATGCATAATAAATCAGTAAATCGTCATTTACTAATTTGTTATTGATCTTAGTTTCTTARYYTTATAWRATGGTTGGGAATAAGATAATAGTCTAGAAATATGTATTAATGCTTCTTTTATCATTTTACAAAATATCATTGCATAGTTCCACATATTTCATAATATTTCCACAATGTCTCTAATTTTTACAATATCCCCCTCGACATTTCTGGCATATGTCCTATATTTTGGTAAGCGACATTTCCATCGACATCGACATTTTAAACCTTGGATATTGTTCTGTTAGGAACAAATGGAAAAGTGAAAAATTTCCCACTGAAAATCCTCCCAAAGTTTCATCCCTTGTCCTGAAATAACATCATATCTTATATATTGGAGGGAGGTTGGAAGTAAAGTCAAAACTTCTATTCATGGGCTTCTTGTAGAAGCTCTTAGGTCCTAAGTTCCATCCATTGGGATGCAACCTTTAAATGCTTTCAATTACCCATAAAGCCTTTTTTTTCCTGACTTCTTCCTATGCTCAATCCTCCCTCTTTTGCTTTGCTCACATCTGAACACATCAAATGATGATTTACTCTATTATTACTCCCATCCCACAAAAAAAATCCTTAGGCTGTGTTTGGTTGCAATGCAAACAAATTTGTACTGATGCAAAACCATAGCAGTGCTAATGATTTAAATGTAAATTCTGACTTATTTTTGTTTCAAATTTTAGCTTATTTTGTTTGATTGCAGTACAAATGAAGTAAATTAAGACATGAAGCAGAATAAAGTAAAACCCAAAACAAAGTTAAATGGGAATTTGCATTTTTTTTCATTTGCACTCCCATGCATTTGTACTAGTGCAAATAAAATTGAACAACAACCAAATGCAGCATTAAGGTTGTGTTTGTTTGCGGTGTAAAATGTCACTGCCTGTTCGATTTTGTCCGCGTTTGGATGGAGTGTAAAACGTCATTGGTGTAAACCATCACTTCTGGTTCTGTTTTGTTCGCATTTGGATGGAGATGAGGTTTACAATGTAAATCAATGTAAAAACTACATTGATAAAATCAATTTAGTACTACATCGATAATCACCTTTTTTATGCCTACTTTGTCAACGGTTTAGTAATTTTCAAACGGTTCGGTGTGAAACTCCATTGGTGGAGTTTTACATCAATGAAGTTTACACTACAAACAAACACAACCTAATTAATTTCTCAATCTTTTGCACTACTCTCACAAGGACCTTAAACACTGATAAAGACAAATTGGAAGATTGGAAAGAGAGGATTTGATTAAAGTACACCCCCCCCCTTTTGAGATGTAATTCTTTTTAAAAGAAGCTAGTCTTTTGACAAACTTCTCTATTACCACCTCCCAAAAATCCACTTCCCTAGGTTACCCCCTCCTCCCAAAGGTACTAGGCAAGGTTTAAAGTATTAAAAGGATACTTTTGATATAGGGCATATCATATCTATATTCATGGCTATGAATACAGGATTCACCATGATTGGGTATGTATCCCACAAGTTGTGTGCGTTGGCACGATATGCCTCCATAGACGGTTCGATATGCACCAATACATATGTGTATCGATGCCTGGTTTGACAAATTTGTATGTTGGCCATTTTTGGACTGTTTTTTAACTTTAATAAAAATTGAAAAATTAAAATAGAGTTATAATTATAAAAAACTTAAATAAAAACAATTTAATATTTAATTTTCCCCAAAACATTAATAAAAACTGAAAATTATAAAAATAATTTAAATTAAAATATATTTATTACTTGAAAAGTAGAGTTATTATTTTATATAAAAATGCTAAATAGATAATAGGGCTGTTCATGGGTCGGTTTACTGAGGTTTTTCCAACCGACCCGACCTGGTCGGGTTACCTGAACTTGAAACCGAAACCGACCCAGTGTGTTAAGAAAAACCGACCCAGTCGGTTTGAGTCGGGTTGGGTCGGTTTGGGTCGATTTCGGCTCTAAGTTCAACCATGTGCCTGTGTGGTGCAAGTTTGGGTTGTCAGTTTGAGAATTTATTCTTGCTAGAAGTGAAGATGGCAAAAAGAAGACAAATTGATAGGCATCTGGGATTAGATATTAGTTTCACCACGAAAACTGAAATCATGAATTTCAAACATTATATCAACTTGTATAAACTGCACAAAGGATTATGAACAACTAAACAAGGTATACAATAACATGCTTCTTTAGCTAAGTCGGTTCGGTTCGGGTCGGTTTTGGTTTTCACACAAGAAAACCGAAATCGACCCCAACCATCAGTTTATGATGTTTTACAACTCGAAACCGACCGATGCTGAAGATAACCAAGCCGACTCGGGTTGGGTCGGTCGGTTTGGTCGGGTTGGGCCTTCTTATGAACAGCCCTAATAGATAAATAAGTTTTCCCAACAAAACTAAAAAAAATTGAAAATTATAATTATAAAAACTGAAATAAATAATTAAGATTTCAATTTACCCCAAAAAATTAACAAAAATTGAAAATTTATAAAAATAATTTATTTTATCTACCTTAAATTATTTATATGTTTATTTTACAATTATATGCAAAATAAAATAATTATATGCTAAAAAGGAAAACATATTTATTATTTGAAAAAATAGAGTTATTATTTATATAAAAATACTAAATAAATTATTTTTTCCATAAAAACTGAAATAAAGTGATAATTATTGTATAATGCATACATGTTCTAGAGTGCAGGCATTGTTGATTGTAATGTTTCTCTTCATATAACCTATTAAGTATGCATTTCTCATGTGTTTATACCTTATTCATATAGATATTTCAGCTCTAGATTTAGTGTTATCAATGTATTTATTTGATTTGTATGAATTCCCCTATCATATCCAAGCATTTCCATATTTTTCGTTTGTATCAATGTGTTTTCAAAGCATATCCATATTTGTACCCATATCCAAGCTGTGCGATACGATATTCGATACTGATACTTTCATCCTTGGCCCTAGGTACTTTAAAGACCACCCTCTAACACCACAACCCAAGATATTCACATAATCCTAGGTACTTTATAATGTATTTATAAAGTGCCTTAGCAATTTGCCTACTGGTCTGACATCCAGACCTTAGATTTTGAATGTGATGAGGGATATTGTATTTATCAATGCTCAACTTTCTCATTTTGATTTTCTGTCCACCACAGGTTTATATCATTGACTATGGCCTTGCAAAAAAATATAGGGACCTTCAAACTCATAAGCACATACCATACAGGTACCTCATTGACTGTACTCTGGTATTAATCCAAAATTGTGGTTTCATGTTGTTCATGTTGCTTACCTTGTTTTTGTGTTTTGAATTTCAAATGTGTGGACATTGTTCATTTTGGAAGCTGACCTGCAAACAAGGAATTATTGTGGTCAAAAAATATATTTTTTGAGTTACTTGACTTGTTCATAGATACCGGTTCTATCTCCTTCATGGTTAATTTTTAGGGACAGAGAAAAAGGTTGATCCCTATAGATGAATTACACCTTTTTTTTTTAATTTTTTAAATTCTTATAAGGGTGTGCTTAACCAAAATACCTAACCCAAGTCCTCCCACCCCACAACCAATGCTTTCAACATGTTATTAACCAATCTGGTTGGACTGGTCAACCTCATTACTTGTTGCAATTCCAGTTCAGTTCAGTGTCTAACCTGGCTAGCTACAAAAATCTGTTGATTGATTCAATGACCCATCAACTCAGATGGTTGAATTATTGATATGTACCCATTCAATGGGTTACCAGCTTTTCCATTGCCATTAAGCCTTGTCCAATTGGCTACATGAACCCTATCTCACTATTCCATTTTGTTTAGTGCCATATCCATTGTTAAATTATGAGCCCTTGAATCATTTCTTAAATCTTACTGCTAAAAAGTTCAAACCATGTCCTTTTTGGTTTGCCCCTAGCTCTTCTAGCAGGGGCTGTCAATGGACTCCATAAGTCCAATGCTTAATTCGACATCCTAACTGATTATCTTGGATTTGAATGTTGGAACTTGCATTCGATTAAAATCCGAGTGCAACTAAAATCCTCTCTCTCCATATTAAGATATGTTAACTTGAGAACGAGTTTATTGACAGTGTTGTTACCCTTGCAACTCATATTTCTATGAAATTCCAAGTTTTGCTTTTGAATTATAATATAAACTCTATGCATTATTAAGGTCAATAATGACTTTGTTGGAGAGATCTATATGACGACCTTCATTGGATTTATTTATGGCGCAAAAGCTCATATTTGATGTTGGAGGAAAAGTAGAAAGGCCTATTGGTTAGTAGTTGTGGACTAGACAGTGTGCATGAATACAGACATAGGAATTAGAATGTGGCACGTCGGGGAGTCTGATTTAGTGAATGAAAAAAAAGTAGGATTAATGGACAGATCTCAATGCTGCAGGCATTTTGGTAAATCCGCCTGATTTGCATTGTAGCTGAGTCCATCACATATTTTGGAAAGTTGTACATGAGTTGGCTTGTAGACACATGCCAACTCATGAGTCCCCTCTAAAGGTGGGGTTTCCATCCACCACTAGGACTAGAAGGATGAGAATATAGATCTGATAGTGGGAAAGAAAAGTTTTAGATCTCGAATATAGAAGAGAAAGATCACATCACTAATCATAAGACTGGTTATGTGTTCAATGCCATTAGAGTCAAGTTGCAATGTTATGTGGAAAAGGATTTTGGATTGGATTCTCATACTTCCAAAATTTGAAGGGGTTTCAAAGGAAGATCTTGGAATTGTGTTTTGATCCCTATTTGAATTAGAGTCAAGAAGTTAGTCTTTCTTTTTTGTTTTTTGGATGTTTTTCTTCAAGAAGATGTATGATTGGGAGTTGAGTCGAATTTGTGGCAATACTCATCACCCTAGCTGATGTACTTCTTTCTTTATATTAATAAAATTTTATTTTTATTTGTTACCCAAAAAAATGTTTTCATCTAACATAATGCAGTGGATTGTTCCCTTTGCATTTACAAAGTCAACTGAAATGTTTTAAAGCGCGGAGGCATGACGCAAGGCATTCCACTACCTAGAGGCATGAGGCATAGTTCAGAACGCAAGAGGCGTAAGCCTCCTTAAGAGGAGGGGGGTTAGGAGGAGGATGAAGAGGAAGGGGGGGATCTCATTTTTTCTTTATTTTTAATAAAAATCTTTTATATTAAGAAGAATAAAGATGCATAACATTAGTTCAAAGGGGTCTTGTCGAAGCGGAGGGGGCGTTTGGAGGGCGAAGCCCCCCAGCCGAAGGGGCAAGGGGCAAACCACTTTCTTTCCCCTTATCCTTTCTTCCCTTTTCTTCCCTTCCCTTTCATTTCTCTCTTTTTTTTTTCTTCTCTTTCTTTTTCTTTCCCTTACCTTTTTTTTTCTTTTTTCTTTTTTTTTTTCTATCTTTTTATATCAGATGTGCATGAGGCGCATCAGGCGTACGCCTCTAGCACGCCTCATGAAAAAAGCACAAGAGGCCTGAGGTGTACACCTCAGAGGTGTCAGTGCCTCTGGCATACGCCTCGGGGCGTTTTGGGAGTGTCTCGCCTGGAGGCGCGCCTCTAGGCATATGCCTCCCATGCCTTTTAAAACACTGGGAGGCCCTGATATCACAAAATTGGTATGAATGTACTGACCCCTTGCAACTTTCCAATTTACTGTTGATAAAGTTGATTTTTGGAGGCTACATTCTCATCCATATCAAGAGCAGGCCGCATTAAAATCCCTAGTTTTTCTAGGCAGTAGGCATAGGCACTTTCTGTTGCTGCCTATGCAATTAGGAGTTTGAAGGGTATGATCATCAAAGTAGTTCCATGTACATGCATTCTATATGCAATATGCATATGATACTTCCTCCAGCTATTCAGTAGGAGCCTCTTGATGTGCATTGATGTGCATTCCTGAAGGCAGTAATGGATGGAGAAGGTTTGACGCTAAGCTGCAGGCATTTGTTGGAATTGATAAAAAAACAGAAAAGATAGGACACTTACAAAGGTTCCTGCATGCATAGACCACTCTGATGACAGAGGCAATACCGGTTCGGTGAGAAGACTACCATAGTGCACCATACTCGGGTCCTGTAGAGCAAGTAGATTTATTGGCAGCAGAACTATTGGGTTTGCTTCAAGGGATGAAATTTGCAAAGCAGATTGGGTTTCAGATGCTGGAAGTGGAAGGGGACTCCCAGGTGGTTACTTCCTTGAAAAAATTTCACAGCCAAATGCCTTGGATTTACAAGCACAAGATCTGTGAAATTGAATGTTTAACAAGGGAATTAAATGCTCTTTGAAATGGGTGGGATGATCTGCATATGGCATGACAGATGCTTTAGCTAAACAAGGGGAAAAAATAAGCAGCAGATATTTTGGGCTAAATTGTAATGCTTGTTCAGGGATTTGTGCTCTAATTTTATTTGGATAATGAGTTGGAAGTGGGTAATTTACTCTCAGCAACGAAACCTCCAGTTTAGTTATATACTTAATAAATTCTACCTTTGCTGATAAAAAAGGCTGCCATAGTGATATTGGAAAACCTTAAATCTCCAGCGGTAGCTATAATGGAGGGACAGGCAGAGAGGCTGGAAGCCATGGTGGTGACTGAAAACAAAAACCAAGGACTTGGATAAATTGGGGGGTGTTTAAAAAAAGAATTAAATCTGAAGGTTTTCCATGCTGAAACCATTCAGGTTTGCATTTTTTTTTTGTATTTCAATTCGAGTAAATGGGCTTTTTAAAACATTTAATTTCTTTTAAAATTCAGGTTTACAGTTTTTGTATTATTGTTTTTTAATTCTTGCTTTGAATAGCACATGTCACCTTGTGCCTCAGGTGCTAGAATTGCCTTTTCAAAAGACTATGTTGTGTGGTGTCATTCGAAATTAGTTGTTTTGGATTGTTTCCAGTGGATGGCTCTCTGGGAAACATATAGGTTCCAGTTGATATGTTCAATAAAATGTGGAAAACACAAAAGAAATGTGTGGGATAGGACAGAAAGAAAAATCAAAAAGTTGAGGTTTTTAATATCTCAAACTATTTCACTTGGCATTTCTTTTATTTTTCTTTGAGGATCTGTTATTGACAGTGCAGTTTGTACATTATGTGAAGTTTCTAGTTGTTTAATATTTCCATTTCTTGCGGGTAAGCCAGGGCCCTCCAGAGTTGGGGGGAGTAATAAGGGATGAAAATGGGAACCTGCTAGCTATGTATTCTGGTCCAGTTGGGGTGGGTGATTCTCTGAGGTCTGAGATCCTAGGAGCTCTTGAAGGGATTCAAAAGGCTAAGGAAATGAACTGTAAAAAACTGATCATAGAAGGTGGCTCTGAAATTGTAGTAAATTGGCTAAAAGAGGACAGCTCTACACTCTGGAAATACAGCAACGAAAAGAGGAAATTCAAGTGGCTCACCGAGGATATTGAAATCCATTATACATGGATAGTGAGAAGTGCTAATGCACTGCAGATGGTCTAGCTAGGCAAGGGGTGAACAGAAACTCAATGTTTTGGGCTGTTTTGTAATTGTTTCAAGAATTCGGGTTTATAAGGTATCTGGGGGTTAGGATTTTTTAGCTCCTTAACTTGTAATTTAGCTTTTCCTTCTTATTAATAAAATTGACTGTTACTGATAAAAAAAATTTCCATTTCTTGCTTTGTTTCCTGCACCAATTTCCCATCAAGAAACTGTTACTGTTATCATTCATTCATTATGACCATTATTGATGAAGTTCAATGGAAGAAACTAAATTTTCTTTCTAAATTAAAACTAACTATATTATATACAGATTTTATTTGTCTGCTTCCATGGTTCCACTATGAAAAATTTGATATTTGATGTATCTTTTGTTTCTTGTTTTTTCAATTGATTGGATGCATGATTCCTAGGTGTGTATTTTGTTCTAAATTCGATGGGCCATAACCACTGAATCGAAAGGTGGCATCTTAGACCATGCATATTCCTGTGCGCAACTGTGCATATTAGGGAATGAGGATATTAAACTGATAGCAGAAACCTATTTCTAAATCATTGGTGTGAATGGTTTCTGTAGGATCTAGCTCCTATGTATTAGATTAGGGTAAAACATTATTGGCCCTGTTGGGTGTCTTCAGAATTTTGCTTATTTCATGTCTGAGTTTGATTTATTCTCTCGTTGCTATCCTTTGCCTTTTGATGACTTGTCCCAGCTGCTGATGAGGTCTTTCCTTGCAGAGAAAATAAGAATCTTACAGGAACAGCTCGATATGCAAGTGTTAATACACATCTTGGAGTTGGTATGTGGAGTGCTATTGCATATTTGTTGCTAGATAGTAAATGGAAATTTGGGTGTTTCATTTTTGGTGTATGGTAGGGGATTCAAATTATGACCAATCTTGTTCTTGCTTCCTTTCGTTACAGAACAAAGCAGGAGAGACGATCTGGAGTCTCTTGGTTATGTGCTTATGTACTTCTTAAGGGGAAGGTTAAATATAAGATATTCCTGTCCTTATTTTACCTTTCTTCTGTCATCTCCAATTATCAAAGTTATTTGTTTCTTATCCTCATATTTTTTAACTGTGTGGTTTCTGTGCATCAGTCTTCCCTGGCAGGGGTTGAAAGCCGGCACTAAAAAGCAGAAGTATGATAAGATCAGCGAAAAGAAGATGCTAACTTCCATAGAGGTATTTCCCCTTGCCACCTTCAAGGTAGCTTCAGTTGAGGCAATTTGAGAACATCTATAATGTCGGTTTATAGAATGTGGTCCTGTAAAGAAACGAGTTTGTTTTGTTGTTTCTTATTTCTAGTCTACAGTGAGAAGAAAATTATTGTTCCATGGCACAGCATGGTATTCTGACGGGATTTACTTGAAAATTATTCCACAGGTGCTTTGCAAATCATATCCCTCAGAGTTTATATCATACTTCCACTATTGTCGATCATTGAGGTTTGAGGACAAACCAGATTATTCATACCTGAAGAGGCTTTTCCGTGACCTATTTATTCGAGAAGGTAAGCCATAAAGCAGGCCCTTGACATTTATTTTTCTGCTGTTAGTGCTTCAAATTATTATCAGTCAGTGATATTACTTCTAGTTTGAGTGATACTTTTGAATTGTATCTGGCTTTTGATATTCTTTTCTAGGCTATCAGTTTGACTATGTATTTGACTGGACCATATTGAAGTATCCTCAGATTGGTTCCAACTCTAGATCACGGGTAAGGGTGCCTCGATTTCATTGTATAAAATATTAGCATTCAATGGATGTGTTTCTAATGTTATTTCTGGTGTCTCTTTTCAGCAGCCTAGTGGGAAACCAGCCCTAAATGCAGGCCCATCCATAGAAAGACCAGAGAGAACTTCAGGTCTGTTGGCCTTCTTGACATGAGGTTCCAAGCCCTGTTTGTGGGAAGTTGAAACTCTTTTGAATTGTACAACATAGTCTCCACCTCAAACTTTCAAGTAATGGTTTTAGTGGGTGCCTGGTTTTCAGTAACTAGAAATAATTTATTATATATGGAAATTACAAATTTTATAAACATCCGATAGATCTTCCAGCCCATGTCTTTGTTAGTATCATACTTTACAATTGAGTCCAAAAGAACTGGTCCTTAATAACCCCTTTGTTTTGCTAAAGCATCAGCCAAACCATTTGCCCACCTTGGGACTCGTTGAATTGTAAAATTGACAAATTTATTATGCACAAAGCACTAGAATCTAAACGTTATTGCATGTGTGAGTGCCCATCAGAAACTCTTTAAAAGAAGATCTGCTGGGTGTGTTACAGGGTTTAAGGTTGGTTTATAACAATTAGGGGTTACAATTGTTATGTCGCTATTCTTTGAGTTTTAAAATACTAATTTGAGATTCAAAATTAAAGATTTCACTTTATGTTTGTAAATCAAGTCTGTTTTTCTTTTTGTCTTTTTTATGGACTTTCATTTTATATGTCTTTATCAGTTCTTATTTTCTGCTATTTCTTTTTTCTAGTGGGACAAGAAATTCGAGATAGATTCTCAGGTGCAGTTGAGGCATTTGCTAGAAGAAACAGTTCTGGTATTGGTATCCATGGGGATCATTCCAAACACAAGGTTTTAGAGGATGCACCATCTTCCAAGGATGTTGTAAGTACAGATAACCCTTTTTCCATTGGGCTTTCTTGCTACATATTTCTCTTTGGACTCTGCCCAATCTGGACCTTGCCCCAGGCAAACCTTAGTTTTTGCATGAGGTGGGCTTTGATTCTTGGACATGGGCTAGGCCTGATCCCAATTTAGCTGATCTCAGTGGCCCAAGCCCAGCCTGACCAACTCAAGCTTGTCGAACCCTTCATGATATCTAGTCTGCATCCATGCATAAACACATGCACACACTAAGGCAGTGTTTGGTACTGTGTCCATTTGCTTGAGGCAACATTTTCACCTTGCAAATTGGGAGAGGTCAGTTGTGCACAGACCCCGGATTGTATTTGTTTATTCTGTTTAAAAGACACATAGGTACCACATAGGACAGAAGAGGTGAAAACACCTCGGCAAGCAAGAAATGCAAAAAAGTTGTTTTCACTAGAAGTTACTTTCACAGAAACCAAGGTAAAGGAAATACAACCACTTTTACTTGAACTACTCCAACCAAATAAGAAATTGCTCAAAACATCTACATGGTGCTGACATGGCAGTGTTTCTTGAGAATACAACCACACTATGCAACACCATCTAAATATGTATGCACTGATGGTATTTTGTGTCCTTTTAATTTCTAATTTGAAGAAGTTTAAAATTATCAGGAAAACTGTTGGAATTCTTATATTTTTCTCCTATGAATAAAATCCTTTTTGGTCACTATTAATGATGTAAAAGTTACAATATGAGCAACATAACCTTTATTCCAATCAATCTGCCCTGGCCTTGTACTGGCCCGATTTGTGATAGGGACTCAGGTGGGTCATGTTGGTCTTTGCCTCAGGTTGGAGCTGTAGGTCCAAGCTTTAGGGTTGGTCCTATCTTGGCTCTAATCCTGACCATATGGGCCAGATTTTGGATTTATTAAGGAGTTAAATGCCATGATCAGCTATCATCACATGTATAGAGAAGGTAATCAAGCAGCAGATTGATTAGCTAATGGTCATCACTGTGAGATTAATTCATACACTTTCCATTTGAGGGAGATGGACTACATCATTCTTATAGAATCTCTTCGTGTCTCTTTTTCTCGTTTTGCTCAAGTCTCTGGTGTATCAAAAAAAAAGGCCCAGCAAGGCTCCTATAATTGTCCATTAAATAGTATTTTGTCGTGTTTTACCTTGATGTCTTATTTTAGCTTGTCAATTCTCATCATAAGGTATTTTTAAATTTTTTTGGGCTCCACTGCCAGTCACTAGAGCAAATAGGATGAGAATTGACAAAGCTAAAAATTACCATGTTTCCCCTTGATGTATTTCTTCTGTTCGGTGATTGGAGTGTCACACTGTTTTAGTCTCCAAACTGTTTTTCATTTACAAATTTCCATCCACTGATCATTATTTGGGTTAGATTTATTTTTGTTCTTTCAAGTAAGGTGTTGCCTAGACAATGACTAGGTATAGCCCAACACCAGGATTAAAATATATGATTAACTTTCATAAATGAACTATTGAGCCTTAAAGAAAACTTACAATCTAGTATTGTAGCTTCTTTTGGAAGACACATTTTCAATTTTCACATTCCCTCTCCTTTGCTTCCCCCTATCTCCTAGATCACTTGTTTTCACTTCTGTTTGTGAGGACAATTATTTAATATGTTAATGGTACTGAACAAAATATATAATATAGTAGAATTTTAGTATATTGATTTTATTAGATTATAATAATATTTATACTGTAGAACAATACTAGGTGACAGGTTTTGCTAGTGATCATGTACTGAGCTCCTCTAAGTAACAGCTTAGTTTGGTACTCAAAAGAGCCTCCATGATCCTCTCCTAACCTTTATTTACCACCTTGCCACGTGTTCAAAATACTTTTTATGGAGAGCTTGTATACTAAAAATTAAAATATGCATGAACATAGGACTCTGATGTGGACTGCGGGACTGACCCATGTCCAAACATAGTTATGTTGGGTACTTCCCTACCCTATTATGAAACCTTTTTCCTTGGAAGCTTAAACCATGTTATGGTATTTTACTGGGTGTATGATTAGTTAATACGGATGGTTGCCTTACCTTTGTCAAAAAAAAAAAAAAATCTGATGATTGCCTTGTAGCCATCGAGTCCTTAGGCCTTAATGCAGTCGGTGTGTATCCAACATGTGTACACATGTACACGTGCACACATCTCAAGCCTTCCATTTTTCTTTGGCATGAGGTACTTGTTCTTTTTCAGATGTCTTTTTTCCCCTCTTTTAATTTAACTCTATTAGAATTCGGGTGCATTTTACTTCAATTGATATGTTCAACATTTTCCCCACATTTCATATACAATGCCAATACACTTAGTTTTGCATCCTAGTTGCATGACATGAAGAGACTTGCAAGGGTACTGATTTCGGAAGCCCTGAAGCTTCAATGCTTGCCTCTTTTATTAATGCCATTTCCTGCTTGCTTTTTCAGCATCCAGATTCAGAAAAGGGACGACCTTCCTCTCGAAATGGCAGCTCAAAGAGGGCTGTCATCTCAAGCAGCCGGCCTGGCTCCTCTGGTGAGCCAAGTGAGAACCGGCCAAGCCGTATGGTCTCAGGCAGTGGCCGTCTGTCTACTACCCAAAGGGTCCAACCTGGGTTTGAGTCCAAATCATCTTCCTTATCTCGTGCAGCCGCCACAAGAAGTGCTCGTGATGATACTTTTCGGAGCTTTGAGCTCCTGTCAATTGGCACAGAGAAGAGGAAGTAAAGGAGAGAGCTATCTGGTAAGAAGAGATTACTTCTACGCGAAAGGGAAAAACACTCCCTCTTGCTGCTGTTTTTCTGAGTAATGAGCATTTTATCGTTCCTCTGTATATGCAAAATATCCCATTCAAGGATTTTCATCATAGCTGGAGCTCAACGGAGTTCCTTTTTAAGAACAATTCCAGTAAGCTTTTTTTACAGGCACAGCCATTATAATGTGTTGTAGACTTCACCAAGAAAGAGAAAGCTTTCCATTTTAGGGAATTGTTAATATGTCTGAGACTTGGATAGTTGTAATAATATTGTTATTCTTCATATGCCCTGCCCACAACTTCAATTTGAGACTAAAAACGGTTCACAGTTCGTAGATTTTACTTTTTACCTCTTTTTCCAACTTTCGTGTCATTTTCATGTAAAAACAAGTATACTCATTGCGGTACGTGGTCGTAATTCATAAGCATGGCTTCTGATTTTGACTAAAATATTTCATCCTATTTGCAGTTGTCTCAGTTTGGGAGTACAAAGTTACAAACTACAAATACATACAAAACAATGCAAAATACAAGATTTTGCACTACTTATTTGTATTTGTACTCCTCCCAAGTTATATTAATCTTCAATGCACAATGCCTTTTTTAAACAGCAAATAAATACCTTTGTGGTATATGAAAACTAGAGAATAAACAGATCCGATCTGCGAATGATGCTCTGGCCAAGTGATAGATGCATCTATCATGTTTTGGATATAAAGGAATATTCGTATATTAATGCAATGGAAGTATGGAACCATGCCTGGTCTACATTTAGGTGTATCTTTCTTATGGTTGTGTTCCATCTGGTTCTCGGACACTAGTGTTTTGAAGGACGTTTTCATTTTGTTTCTCATTTTAGAACCAGCTAATCATGGTTTTGAACCAGTAAAATTCACATTATAAAAGATAGACTTTTGAATATAATCGCATGGTTTAAGGTTCACATATTGACACCCGTTAGGCTGTTACTAGACAATCTTCTTATAATAAGCTACTAGGGGTGCAAGTTAATTAGACGGGTAGGGTTGGGTTAACCTGGGTTTAACCCTAAAGGTGCAAATCCTCGAACTTGGGACTGGTCCGATCCAAACTTAACCCAACACAACTCAAGCCAGACTTGGGCTCATTTGATAGACTAGGCTTAGTCGTGTTTGTTCATAGTTGGGTTTGAAATAATTTTTGTATAGCCATATTTTATTGGGATTTATGCCCTAATTTAGGAGTGAAATTCATTGAAAATATGTAAAATATTTTATTTACAAATGCGTATATACTTACAAAATAAATAAAATGCATATAAGGGTGCAATTGAATTGAGCTTTAATTAAACAATTTATGCTTGAATTCAGTTAGGCTCGATAGATTGATACTAATTAAGTTTGATTCTCATTCAATTAGTTCTTCAAACTCTCTCTCTCTCTCTCCCCCCTCAAACTCAAACTCAAATTTGAAGATAGGAGTATTTTAGTCTAATTGACCTAAGGCATGCTGAAGTTCAACTTGATGTATGTATATTATTCGAGCAGACTCAGATCAAATCGGGCTTGAGTCTAGCCCACCCAAATTGCAGAGAGGAATACCTTCTCTTTTGATGCAAGCCAAGGATTCTTAGAGTAACCAATGCTTTCAGCTTCTTAAGGGATATAATTAATTAGTCTAGCAAACAAGGTAAACTCTTTTATGGTCTTGGTAGATGTTTTAAAACCCAACTAGCCAGCTGAACCATTTTTGCCTCTGTGTCCAAGTCAACAGTTCAACCATTTGGGTTGGATGGGTCAAATATACATAATTATATATATACGAAAGCATGTTGTACTGAAATGCATATTATTAAAACATGCAAATGTTAGGCATATGCCTTAAAACCAATCTAGTGATAATGTAAAAGGGCAATCTTGTAGCATTCATACTTTAGTTTAATACAAATAGGGCAACTTTCATTCATGTCTTTTTTATTATAATTATATAAATAATCTATAGTATCTTTGTCAAACTGGTATACTCTTAAGGCCTTGTTTGCTTTTCGGTAAATTATTTACCCGGATAAATGCAGCTACCTAGGTAAATTTTTCTTGGGAAACACTTACCCAGGTAAGTGCATTACCCATGTTTTTTTATTTCTCATATAAATAAGGCAATGACCATTTTATCCATAAAAATCAATTATTAAAAGGGGCATTTTTATCTCATTCAAGTGTTGGCAACTTCCCCCCCTAGGTGGGAAAGTTATTTACCCACCTAGGAGATGGGTATCACTTACCCAGGTAAGTGATACCCAGGAAAATAAACTTTCCATGATCCCCACATAAATCTGAAAAAAAAACATGGGATTCTTGGTCAATGGAAACCAAAATCCCATTGACCAACTTTCCCCCCTCTCAAAATCCAAAGAACGCCCCCCTAAGTGTTTAAGAACTTGAGATCTCTATCATTGGTACAAGATCCTAAAATATTTCCTAGTCATAGGTTTATCAAGAGGGCTTTGATATTTCAAATAGAATGGCACATATTATGCTTACCTTCAGGGGTGATGAATCTCAAGTCACTTGCCTAAAGACACTAATTAAGACAAACAAGTCATTGAGATAGACCCATTAGTAGAACAGTCCTATGGAATCAATTGTCAATAAATATTTCTATCATCTCAATCATGTAGATGATCCTTAAACTTAGGCATCATTGATGTCTTGTACATGGGATGCTACAATTTGATGGTGCAAACATTTATACCCTAACCAAGGGATTTAAGCATACACTTGTCAGCTAAGTGTCTTATGCATGGTGTATGTTAATGTACAAAATTTAAGCATACACAAGTCCTTGGCCAAAACAGCATTGTTTATAGAAAAAGTTCCAATTGTTACCATACGGGCCATTATTAATTCAGTGGGACATATGATTGAGCCAATAGAATTTGACATATTCATCATGGCCCTTTTGCTCTTTTAGGACATTGCATGATAGAAAGATCCGACTACATGGTAACTATAGATGGAAAGGTTCAAATGTTGAATTTAAACTATTAGGGTGGTCAAGACATACTAGTAGATGTTACTCATGATCTGTGGAACCCCTATTAATAATTATCAATTGTTCCAATTCAAAGGAGAACTAAAAAAAGTTCCATCTAATATGCAAAAGGAGATTGGCATCATTTGCCACTACCTAATAATATTGAATATAAGAGGTCACACACATTAAGGGGCAAAATGCAGACAATGTATGAAGGAAGGGTGTAATCACTAAAAGGGGTCTTAGTAGAAGAACCCAATTGCAATTATGAGAAACTTATGAGATAAGTACTCTTAATTGTAATAGAAGTATAACTTATGAGATGAGTTCTATAAAAAGGAGTGCATGGGGTGGCCCTAAGGTTAAAGGAGTTCTTTTTGACAAATAAAACTAGAGGTGTAAATTGGGTGTGCCTGCGGGCCAGACCGGGCCATGCTTCCCTCCCCTAGGATACTTCGGGGGGTCAAGTCCGGTATGGCCCGAGCCCATGCAATCCATGTTGGGCCTGGGCCGTGCGGGCTGCGAGCCATGTAGTGGGCCTTGCCCATGCCAGGCTGGGCTATGGGCCGAGCATTGGGCCTGGGCCTAACCACCAAACTATTTTTTGTTTTTTTGACATTTTGATTTTTTATTTTTTGCTAAAATACTTCATTTTCCTTAATTCAATAATTACTTTGACCTTTGGGAAAAATTTGGAAAAATAAAAAATCTAACAAAGAAATTAAAAAATACTTAAATATTTAAACAATACAATGGTCAATGGACAATGGATGAATGGAATATAGAAAATGGAATAAATATAAAAAATATAATACAATTATAAATTGAAAAAAAAATTACATTGTTGAAAAAATAAGAACTAATATAAATAAAATTAAAAAAATACAATAATTTTAAAAATTGAAAAAAAAATTACAATAATCGAAATAATGAAATATTGAGTATAAAAAAGAATAAAAAATATTGACTTCATTATTTTTCTTCAAGTTCCACCTCAACCTGCATCTTCATCTAATCATCTCCTTGATTGTCATCATTTGCTTTAGGTGAAACGTCAGGTATAATGTCATGCCCTCCTTCAACATCCAACCAATCTTTAAGGCAGATGTATATTTGGAGACTTTCATCATTCATGCAAATTCTCTTGTTGTCCAACACCCTAATACCTGCACTAAAACAAGACTCCGATGGAACTGTAAATACGAGAGGGGTTAGTATATCACGTGCCATGGCAATAAGAACTAGATAGTTTTCTTCATGTCCTTTCCACCAGGCTAAAATATCAAAATTATTCCATCCCTCATTGTCACAGGAATCAATTAAAGTAGAAACAATTGCTTGCAAATAAAAATTAAGTTCAATAAATGAACTTGATGATGAACTGGTAGTAAATTTTTGCCTCTTATGTAGTAGAGATTGAAATTTGTCTCCACTATTGGAAGTGGAACTAGTTGTTTTAGAAGTGGAACTTGCACCTATACAAGTTTTCTTATGCCCACCCACTTGAGATTCATATAAACTATACATTTCAAATAATAAATTATTAACTTCTTCTATTTTATTTCCAACTCCAGTATTCATATTTTCACAATATGATTCATGTAAAATTTCTAAACCATCTTTCCTAATCCTAAGATCTAATATTACAACTAAACAATAAAGGAGAGAAATTTTCTCTTAATAATTTTTAAATTTATTTTCCATTATTTCAATAATTCTTTGAAATTGTGGATTTTTCCTATACTTTGAAAAATATTCACTAATTATAAATAATTAGTTAACAAAAATACAACTAGTTGACTAATGAACACCTGAAAATTCGTTAGTTACATCATAAAAAAAAATTGTAAAAAATCTTTTATACAAATTGTCATTTCTCAATCTTCCTCAAGTATAAGATTGTGTGAAATTTTTGCATTTTGAAAATCAATAAGAATTTGTTTGTAAGCAATACAACTTTCTAATATAGAATAGGTGGAATTCCATCTATATTGAACATATAATACAAAATGTTTACAATTTAAACCATAATTTTAACCTAAATATTTAAATTTTTATTTTCTTGCTCTTGAACTTCTAATATATATTATACAATTTTTTATTTTAGAAATATGATGAGTAATAATATTTAAAGCATCTTGAATACATAAATTTGAAATGTGACATGCACATATAATATGAAATAATTTACCATCTAAAAATGATTTTAATTGATATTTTAGAATATCTATTACTGAATCATTATTACTAACATTATCAAAACTAATAGAAAA